ATATTCAATGTTCAATCACCATCTTCAGAATAGAAGCACTAATGTAGTAGCCATTGTTAATAATATGGAGTAGGAGATGAACCAACCAGCAGCTCGAATTTCCTGTGAAATTTCACATAAAAATACAATGAAATAGGATGGTAAAAAGAACATACTATAGCGACTTCTATTTTTCATGTGATGTTATACGAGCTGAACATCAATAACAAGTGAATAATTCAAGCTACATGTTTGCTATGTGCAAGTTTACATTTCATCCGTCCGGGATACCTAGTTATGCCATCAAGAAACCAATCCAGAGGTTCCAGGGATGAATGCAGTACCGACAAGTAAAACACTACATAAAACATATGGCATTAAGATGCTTCTAATCAAAGGAAGTGCTTCCCGTTTAGCATTGGTGTAATGCTATGATTGTTCGGTTTGTAACACTGGATGAAGTAGATCGAGTGCAAAGGGCCATATATACACTCGATAAGAAACCATTTATCATTTTTAAGCTACTCTGGTCCCAGGTAGTTCAGGAAACACTTAGACTGCATTGGTTTGGCTTAGCGATACTACCATTCCTGCTAATAAATCGACCCACCTATAGTTATTTGGCATCTTTCCAGCATCATATGAACATTAAATCATTTAGGTTCGACAACGTGTAGTCCGACAGAAAACTAGCAAGTCGGAGAAGATTTGTTCTACGAATATGCTAAGTCTGTCTGAGAATACACAAATCTAGTAATATATGTGTCAAGAGTGGGACAAAACCTCGTACCTTCAAGGACAGCAGTGATGAATCTGCAGATGAAGGTTTATATCCATGAAACCCAATGTCATACGAGATGCTCCCATCCGGTTTAAACAGCCCAAAATTCTTCTCAGAACCTGCCCCGGGCTTCAAATTTTCATTAAAGAGCGCAAAAACATATGCCTTAACCACATTTTTTGGCCTGAATGGAGTTCCTTTCATCTTTGCAAGCCTCTTCCGCAAATTGTAATTATATGTCCTTGCATTACTTGCCGTTGCCGCAGCTTCATTCTCATCTCCATGTGAAGCCCATCCGGTCTCTGTGATGATGATTCCATCTTTCCAAATCCGGCTTTTTCTAGCGCAGCATAGGCAGCATCAATCTGAGCATCAAGCAGGTTATCGTAATGCAACTTAGTCTTCGGATCATCTGCTCCTTCCGTTGGTAGGAAGAGAGCATAATTGATATCAATTTGGCCTTATTATACATGTAGGCTAGAAACGGGTAAGCATTTAAACAGAACGGCGAGCCGATTTGCGAAAAAAAACTCCAAGAGTGGCTTCATGTACTGAACAACATTATCTTTAAATACACATGATGAAGGAGGGAAGGAATCGGCAAAAACAGCTTGCGAATGTGCTGTCGTAACCTGAACTACACGACTCAATTTAAGCTTATCTAATGCATTGTAAACATTCTTAACTGCGCCCAGAAGAAATCCCGAAAATTCATCATTCCCTCCTAAGACTTCATTTCCTATAGCGATCCCAAGAATCTGTGCATCCGGAAGATATGTCTGCACATTGTCCTTGACCCAATTCATAGCATGATCTGCATTGGCACTCACGTCTCTCAGATTTTCGTTCGGGAGTCCAACCACAAGTTCCAGCCCCGTCCCACTAAACGCTTTGATGACGTTGTGATCGAAATCATAAATGCGAACATTCTTTATTTTTGCAGCCTTAAGAAGCGTGACAACTTCATCAGGTGAAAGTATGTTATTCGCAATTCTTCCATAGTTAATGCCATAGGTTCCTGTGAATGCTTGCACAATCACACTCACAGATGCTGGAGAAAAGATTCAAAACAAAGCTTTTTAATCAGACATTTCATTTCGAAGAACCGTGCAATAAACAATAGCCTTAACTAATCGATCCCGACATTATAAAATCCTCAAACCGATAGAAAGATGGGTCGAAAAGAAGGAAGTGACCAAGGGACACATACAAAGAGAAGCTAAAACACATAATGCCATTAACAATCGAACATTTAAACCTTATACACTAGTAAAACCATCATTACGAATCGAAATTCGATGTTCTAAGGAAGAAACATCTCATATTTCAACCAGACGAGAATCATAATCCACCGAACTGATTTCCTATTCAATCTACTAACCCTAGCATTCAAATCCCAAACCCAACTAAATATATACAGCAATTAGAACACAATCGCAGCTTGCAAAAAGAGCAATCCTTTCAAACAAAGCATGAACAAGGTAAAGTTTCATTAGAAAAAGACAACATAAACCGATCAAAACAAACAATTCAACAAATTCCAAGATCAACCCAATTCCGACAACATAAAAAACCATAAAAAAAACAAACCATAAACGAATTGATCACCACCCTTTAAAAACAAAAGAGTAAAGGAGAAAGTACCAATTGCAGCAAGAAAGACCAGGAAGAACAGATGAACCCCAAAACTTTTCATTGCCCTTTTATTATTATTGGAATCGATCCTCACAAGGGAAAGAGACAAAAAGATGGAAGAAATTCCTTCAATGCAATGCTATAACACAGTAAAGATTCTCACTCTTTCTAATTCACTTTCCCTCCATGCCTTTGCTTTTTACTCTCATAACGATCTCAACTTCTTCTTTTTCTTCAACTAAAATCTGGGTAAATCTTGGAATGGAAGATCGTGAACTGTGAAGTGATTTTAGAGCAGAACAAAAGCTTTTCTCTGTTCTCTGTGGGATTTTGCTGACGGAGAAGGGTTTAGGCCAGATTCCCCCCCCCCCTTTTCTTTTGAACTATTGAGTGAGTACTGCTGCCTTAGCTTACTGCTTCTCCTTTTAAATCACTAAATATGTTGAAAGCGAGTGCAAGTATGCGTGTGGTAATCTTTTGAAACTCGTAGACTACCTTTTAATTGGCATGTTGTCTTGCCGCCACAAGTTCGGCCTACTAATGGCTTGGCAATGACATGATGAAGCAAACTCCAACTTTACTACTTTCATGAGTAAGTTTATAAATTTTGAGTCAAGTTAAATTTTTAAATTTCTATTTAAATTTAATTATATATATTTATAATATAATGATATTATTTAATTTTAATTTAAATGGTTTTTTTTATAACTGCATACAATACATTATATATATTTTTCATATTTTTTTCATGTGATCTATATATCATACAGAGTCGTAGGACTCAACTCAAATTTGAAAATCAGTCCATTAATTATTAAAAATTTCGAGTCATTCGAGTTATATTTTACAACTCGATTTGAACTTGATAATTTTTCATGTCGAATCAGGTTTATAAAACTACAACTCGAAATCAATTCGAATCGAGTCAAGGAAAAAAATTCAAGTTGAGTCGAGTTTTACCACCCGTAAGAAATACTACGTTTGATTTAAAAAAGTTAAATTATAAAATTTAATTTAATAATTATATTAATAATAACTCAAATTTTTTAATAATTAATAATTTAATTTTTAAGTTTGAGTCGAGTCTTTCAGTTATATATGATATATGTATATTATTTATAACAAAATATGGAGAAATATATAGGCAAAATGTATCTAAAGCCCTTGTTCTTTTAAAAAAAAACCAATGTAACCCTTGAATTATTTTTGCACCCAAATAGCCCTTCAACTAAAAAAACAAATAAAATGTAATCCTTTTATCAACGTTTTTTGTCGTTAACCGTTACGTTAATAACATGACAGTTCACGTTGTTGACATGACGATGCATGGTCAGTTATCAATTTTCATTCATCAAACGATCCTAAATCCCTATAAAATTAAGGGTAAACTACGTATTAAGAACCTAAACTATCACTTTTGGTCCATTTTAATACCTAAACTTTCAATTTTTCAAAATCATACCTAACGTTTAGTTTTCATTTCATTTTAATACCTGCAATTAAGAAATTATCACGTTTAGTACCTAAACGGCTAAACTATCAATTTTGGTCTGTTTTAGTACCTAAACTTTCAATTTTTTCAAAATTTAACATTAAATTTTGAACGGGATACTAAAATGAAACAAAAATTAAAGTCTTTAACCCCAGCATACTAAAATAAAATAAAAATTAAATTTTTTAGGTATGCTTTTAAAAAAATTGAAAGTTTAGATACTAGAATGAACCAAAATTAATAGTTTAGGTACTAAACACAAAATTTATCCTAAATTTTAAATAATTTTACATTGTGCAATATAATTAGGCATGTAAATGAATCGAATAAACACAAACGAGAGTATGTTCAGGTTCGTTCGTTTAACTTTAATCGAACAAACGACAAACACGAATAACTAAACGAACATAATTTATTGTTTGTGTTCGTTCATTAAGAAATTTAGTTTGTTCGTGTTCATTCATGTTCGTTCGTTAAAATGATAAACGAACGTAAATGAATACAAACAAACGAACATAAACAAACATAAACGAGCGAATATAAAATAAATTGAGTTTATATTTAAGAAGAGTTTTTTTCTTTGTAAATAATTTTAGGATTTATATTTTCTTTAATTGATTTGAGTATTTTTTTTATTTGAGTTTAAAATTAATCGGGTATAAAATTATTAATGGGTTTAAGGTTAAAATTTATTAAGTCTTAATATTTCAAATGGATCTAGAGAACATAAATGAACAGATTACCGAACGTTCACAAACGTAAATGAACGAACGAGCCCTTTGTTCATGTTCGTTCATTTAATTAAATGAACTCCCCGTCAAACGGTTCACGAACAATTCGTTTACATGACTAAATATAATCATATCCTCTCTCTCTCTATAATATAAGGAGAGAGAGTGTTCCTTAGGGAAGTTGTCAAAAGAAAAAAAAGGGAAGTGAATGATTTGAAGACAAAAGAAGGTTCATATATATTCAATATAAAGTACTACTCAACTTTGTACTTATGGATTCTGCACCCTTTACGCCTATTCATTACAGACAAAAACAAAGCAAAACTCCCCATTTTAAACGCCGGACATCATCCAAATCAGGGTAGTAGGGACGGAAACACGATTTTCTATTATAATTTTATATCATATGACGAATTTATAAAATTTTAGAGGAACGGAAAATAAGCATGCCCAGATACAGAGATGGAATAAAAGGATCAATCCAATTCATACACACAGCATAATAGTCGCTACTATGAGTTCATACAGCTCCACACTTGTACAACGAAAAACATTTAAGAGAGAAAAGCAAACCGAATTCGGAAGAAGCCTCGAAGTTGAAAGATTAAGCGAGCAAAATCCATGAAGTCGAACGCCGAGCTAAGAATTAGAATTCGAAGAAAACAGCGATGGAGACCAACCTGCAAACGTTAAAAAGCCGGGTGAAAAGAAAAACCGTGTGAACCATTTCTAAAATTTTCCATCATGCTAATATATGCCGAATGATTACTCCTATAATATAAGGGTTTCATCGTTCTGATTCATATAGATGCAGGATATTTGGTTAATTCGAGCTAAAACCTGAAGCTGAATTAACTCATGTCACATTGAGCAAGGCCTTTATACGATAGAAAGCAACAACGAAAGGCTGGAGCTGAATTAGCTCATGTTACACCGAGCAAGGCCTTCATAAGATAGAAAGCAACAATGAAAGGCTGAAGTTGAATTAGCTCATGTCACACCAAGCAAGGCCTTTATATGATAGAAAGCAACAACATAAGGCTGCAGCTGAATTAGCTCATGCCACACTGAGCAAGGCCTTTATACGATAGAAAGCAACAACGAATGGCTGGAGTTGAATTAGCTCATGTCACACTGAGCAAGGCCTTTATACAATAGAGAGCAACAACGAGAGGCTGCAGTTGAATTAGCTCATGTCACACCGAGCAAGTCCTTTATGATAGAAAGCAACAACGAAAGACTGCAGCTGAATTAACTCATGTCACACCGAACAAGGCCTTTATACGATAGAAAGCAACAACGAAAGGCTGCATCTGAATTAGCTCATGTCACACCGAACAAGACCTTTATACAATAGAAAGCAACAACTAAAGGCTGGAGTTAAATTAATTTAGGTCACACTGAGAATTTCTTCGAAGCGACAACCTTTACGGATTCAAAGTGACAAGCCAACAATCATTGGAGTCTGGATTTGCAAGACCAAGACATGAAAATTTGATCATTCTAACCTCTTTTAGCATGCCAACTGCTGGTGAATTAGCACCTTTCAATGCAAACCCATTCCTCCAAGGCACCAAATTTCCAATTCATCCTGCAGCATTTGATACTTCAGTTGGGGTAAATAAACAATAAATGCTTTTAGCAAATTATGTATACAAATTCTGGTCAATATCACATTCTCCAATTCCAGAGAATTATTGAATCAAATAGTTAGGGTCTGGAATATAAAACACAAATCCAATTTCTACACAATACTGAACATGGAACTTACAGTAAAAAACCCAGAAGCAAATTCTGCAAACTCGGATCACAAACTAAATCAAATCCCTAAATAACGAATCTCGTAATATCGAAATACTCACTGTTCAGGAGCGTTAAGAAAGACGAAGCCCAGATTGTAATACAAAATTGAGCAAAACCCATGGAACCGATCATCAAACTAAGCCAAAAAATAAAAAGAAAGAACACAGAAAACAGAGGAAGAGATGGAGCCGAAGATCAAGGAAAAAATTTTGGACCATTTCTCGATTTGTGCGTGTCATCCTTGCGCAGGGGCCATGCTAATCTTCTCTGTATCGTTCCAATTTTATCGGATGTCCCCGAAGGGACAAGTAATGATGGCTGCTTCTTGTAATATAAAATACTTCGGTTGTAATGTTTCTAACTGGTGTGGGATATTTAGTTGGTCCACGACTAAAGACTGAACTAGTAGTCATCGTGTGCTGAAAGGGACCTTGACCCCTGATTAAACGAGCAAAATTCTATTTTGGTCCTTCTAAAAACATTACGCTTCAATTTATACTGAATCAGTTCTTGAATTATTGTTAGGGATGGCAACGGGTGTGTCAGATTTTTGTCAACAAAATTTGAATTGAAAGTATGTATTTCCATCTAATTTGATCCGACCCGAAAATATATATTATTTATCTAATTCTAACTTCATCTGACTCGAATTTTTAGAGTATAAATTCGGCCTGATCCGATCCGGTCTGAATTTTTAGAGTATAAATCCAACCCGACCTAATCTGACATGGTATAAAATAAAGACGTAATTAAAAAATAATAATTTTTTAAAGAAATTACATTATTATCCAAAGGTTGGGTCGGATCGGATTGAAGTTTTTTACCCTTCACCCGAACTCGACTTGACCTGACCTCACCTCTTAAAAAAATTTGACCTGACTCAACACGAATCCGATTTTTTTTAAAATTAGACTCTATCAAATCGGATTAAGTTGAAACCCATCAAATTCAGATTAAATTACCATCCCTAATGATAGTAAGTTGATAAACACATTATAATTCAATTTATACTAATTTTGTAATTCTTAATAAATATAATTATTCACAAACATATTCTATTATATGTTCAAAAACATATTTACGAAATCGATCTCAATGGTTAAATGGATAATTGTTATTTTTAGAAGTCCTGGTTCGAGCACCAACGACTATAAGATATTTAAACATTTATCGATAAATGGTCGAAAGTATTTAAAATATATACCATTATAATCGCCAAAGATTTATCAAAAATACTATCAAGAAATAAAAATATTTTTAAAATTCTTAATAAATTTAAAATTACCACCAACAAACTTAAAAGATTAATAAACGCATTTAGTTCCTTTGTTATTTTAATGAAGAAAAGACGGAGAAGTCTCGCATACGACTAATATATGGTTAAAGAAATGTGTTATCGTAAATATTATTATTTTTTAATATTTTCGGTAAAAATTTATCTAAAATATTATTATTTCTGCCATAAATGTTAACGTATCCTGTAAAACGCTACATAAAATATTATTTTTTCTACCGAAAATGTTAATATTAGACAGTTTACAAAAAAAATGTTAAAAACATTAATATTTTAGATAAAAAATAATATTTTAAGTAATTTTGTATCGAAAATATTAAAATAATAATAACATTTTCAATGACCACTTTCCAGCAGATTCCAGCAACCTTATCTTCGGCTAATTCCTCTAATTTTCCCATCAACTTTACCGGGAAAATAAGGGGAATTTTTCCTTAAGAGAAAAATAATGGCAACTGCATTTCTCTCAACTGCTAATTCCTTCTTCCCATCTTCTCTTTCCCCTTCAACATCTTCTTCATCATCGTCATTAGGGCCTGCATTGATTTATCTCAACAATCAAAATGTCCAAAGAAGAACCCTTTGCAGAGCATTGAATGAATCCCCAGTTTTAAATAAGAGAGGCTTTACCCTTTGCTTCATCACCAGCTTGGTGTTGGGTGCTGGTAATGGCGACTCCAATGCCATTGCAGCAATCCTAGAGGCCGATGATGATGAAGAGGCTTTTGGAGAAAGTCAAGAAAAATAGACAGAAGAGGCTTGAAACACAAGGAGTAATCAGTTCATCAACCAAAGAGAAAGGTTGGTTGAACCATACGTAAATCGTTCCTGTCGTAACCGGTTTTCGTCCGGGCACGAAATATTAAAATTTGGCGGGGAAATTAATGTTAATAAATAATTTTGAAAATAATTTAGGAGTCGCCATCGGCCTTTTGGGTCAGGTAGGTCGAATACCTAAAAATTATCTTTTAAAAGAGCTTTTAAGAAAACCATTTTTAAAAGATGAACTGATCTGCGTTTTATAACCAAAAATTCGTTCTTTTTAATAAAAAGGGATTCGTGGTCGGTTACGTTTAGGGAAGGATTAGCACCCCTACAACGCCCAAAAATTGGTACTTTTTAAATTATAAATTGTCTCTATTATTAAAATTTAAAAAAAAAAATTAATTTATAACCTTATTATTTCAAAATTATATAAAAAAAAATATTTAAAAATATCGGAAAAGAACTTCTAGGTACCTTAAGACAGCTCTTTTCTTTGATATTGATAAGTATTAATTTAAATAATATTGTTTAATTTTTAATTTTAAAATATCAGAATAGAACATCCAGTTGTATTAAGACTGTCCTTTTCTTCGATATGGAAAATAAATAAACATTGTTAAATAAATAATGTATATATTATAATATAGTAAAACAATAATTAAAGTAATGATTGAAAATATATTAAATAATAAAAATTAAGTTAAAACATAACTAAACAATGATTAAAAATAAATAAATAATAAATGTAAAATTATGAACATAACCTGAATCATCATAAAATAAAATTACTAATAGTGTAATTAATCCTTAATTAATTAATCAGTGATTAAAATAAAATTTATCAAAGTTTAAAGGCTCTATCTCGAATAAATAAGACTTTAAGTGCTAAAATGTAATTTAGCCTTATTTAATTAATCGGATTAAAATAAACGTTAATAAAATTATAAGGTACTAAATCAGTTATTTACCCTAAATATATATATAAACTGATAATGACTAAAATGTAATAAAATAAAATTGAATGATATGATTAAAAGAATTAAAACTTGCTTTTAATGACTAATTTGTAATGTTACAAACTAGGAGTGACTGCGGAAAGGGTTTACCCATGATGGAAATTACACAGATACCCTCCCCCTTAAACGACGTCGCACGGATGAGGGTTTATAACCCTGAATGCCTGGCCCGAAGGGCCAAGCTTCTCATTTGCCTCATTTCTTTCTTTCTCAAGACGAGAGAACCAGAGTTCTCTCTGGTTTCTCTCTAGTTTCCCTCGCCGGAGGGAAACCGGCGGCCATGGGCCACCGTATTCCGCCGCTGGCCACCGCCGCCGGCCACCGTAACGGTGGTCGGAATTCACAAAAAACACCCCCAAAACGTAGATCTAAATGCCCTAAGACCGATTCCGGTCTTTGTTTTCCATAAAAGACTCCTAATCGGAGTAAATCTACGAAAATACCTTCGGTATTTTCTGTTCTCCGGCGATGTTTAGTGCTTCCGACGGTGGTCAAGGCTCCAAGGGTAAGTTTCTTTTCTTCTTTCTTTGTTTTCTATTTTTTTTTTCTGGTTGTTGGTTGCTGTTCGTTTGTGTTCTTTTCCTCCTCTGTTTTTTTTTCGTTCTGTTTTTTTTTTCGTTCTCTGCCGTCTGTGGCTGTCTCCTCTTGCTTCTTTCGCAGGTATGGTGGCTTTTATAGCCACCACGAGGTTCTGTTTGGACCGGTCCCGAGAGGGATGTCTAGGTGAGTCACCATAGCTATGCTGGTGACTCACCATGGAGCTCGATTTGGGCTGCCATCTGGTGTTCTGGAATCTACGGCGGCGAGGTGGCGTGGCAAAAGCAGCGTCGGCAGCGACTGGTTGGACCATTTGGCAGTGGAGGCGTCGGCAGCAGCGTCTGGAAGCTGGAGAGGCAGCTTGAGCCCTCTGGAAGCGGCGGCTGGGAGCTAGGGTTTGAAAACCCTAGCTGAAATCTTAAATATTGTTTAGGGTTTCTGGTTGGCTGGACCGGTTCTGGTTGGCTTGTAACTGGGCCGGTCCAGTTGTAATTATTTATTAAATAATAATAATATATAATAATAATATATAATATTAATAATAATAATAATAAATAATTATAATTATAATATAATAATAATACTAATAATAATAATAATTTTAATAATAATAATTTAAATGAAAAAAATGATGTCTACAGCTGCCCCTCTTTGCTCATCCTTGTGTTAACAAGAATAGAGCAAAGACGAAAAAGACAATAATTTTTTCATTTGGCTTCTTTCGAGCAGGATGGAAATGTTTGAAAACATCATGCACTGAAGGACTTACAGATGACCCGAAGGTTTTGAAAACATTAAAAAGCTCCTGAAGGCTTTTTGGAAACATCATGCACTGAAGGACTTACAGATGACCCGAAGGATTTGAAAACATCAAAAAGCTCCCGAAGGCTTTTTGGAAACATCATGCACTGAAGGACTTACAGATGACCCGAAGGTTTTGAAAACATTAAAAAGCTCCCGAAGGCTTTTTGGAAACATCATGCACTGAAGGACTTACAGATGACCCGAAGGATTTGAAAACATCAAAAAGCTCTCGAAGGCTTTTTGGAAACATCATGCACTGAAGGACTTACAGATGACCCGAAGGTTTTGAAAACATTAAAAAGCTCCCGAAGGCTTTTTGGAAACATCATGCACTGAAGGACTTACAGATGACCCGAAGGATTTGAAAACATCAAAAAGCTCTCGAAGGCTTTTTGGAAACATCATGCACTGAAGGACTTACAGATGACCCGAAGGTTTTGAAAACATTAAAAAGCTCCCGAAGGCTTTTTGGAAACATCATGCACTGAAGGACTTACAGATGACCCGAAGGATTTGAAAACATCAAAAAGCTCTCGAAGGCTTTTTGGAAACATCATGCACTGAAGGACTTACAGATGACCCGAAGGTTTTGAAAACATTAAAAAGCTCCCGAAGGCTTTTTGGAAACATCATGCACTGAAGGACTTACAGATGACCCGAAGGATTTGAAAACATCAAAAAGCTCTCGAAGGCTTTTTGGAAACATCATGCACTGAAGGACTTACAGATGACCCGAAGGTTTTGAAAACATTAAAAAGCTCCCGAAGGTTTTTTGGAAACATCATGCACTGAAGGACTTACAGATGACCCGAAGGATTTGAAAACATCAAAAAGCTCCCGAAGGCTTTTTGGAAACATCATGCACTGAAGGACTTACAGATGACCCGAAGGATTTGAAAACATCAAAAAGCTCCCGAAGGCTTTTGGAAACATCATGCACTGAAGGACTTACAGATGACCCGAAGGATTTGAAAACATC